TCTTCAATCTCATTCTGCAGCCTGTGTTTGGTCTTCTCCAGGGAGGAACATTTAGCGTTCACTGCTTCAACAGCCTCCTCAGCATCCTGCAGACGCTGAGCCAGCTTCTTTCTGTGTTGGGAAGAGTTCATTCAGGGTTAGCTGCTTTAAAACGTAGTGAGTTGCTCAAGTTGAGATGCGTTTCACCTACTTGGCCTCTTCCAGTTCTTCAGTCCTCTGAATGGCGTCGGTTTCGTACTTGGTTCTCCACTGAGCCACCTCAGAGTTGGCCTTGGACATGCTGCGCTGCAGCTCAGCCTTGGCCTCCTGCTCCTCCTCGTACTGCTCCCTGAGGAGGTCACAGTCGTGTCGAGAGGACTGCACAGCATGGGCCAATGCATTCTTGGCCTGAAATGACAGCATATCTTCGTATCTTTGCATGTTTCATCTTGTTTTCTGAACAAATGTGGTTAACTGCAATTCTTCTCCGACCTTGACTTCTTCCTCTAGTTGCCTTTTCAGGTCTTCAATTTGTTGAGTGTAGGACTGTTTTCCTCTGGTGAGTTGAGACACCAGAGAGTCCTTTTCCTCCAGCTGCCTTGAAAGTTCACCTGAGTCAAGAAGACAGCAAAACTAAATACTTTCTATTGTTTTCAAAGAACACAGGTTTTTCTAATGGATTGCGCACCATTCTCAGTCTGAAGCTTTGCTTTCTGCATGCTGAAGTCATTGATGGTTCGCTGGCCCTCATCTGACTTTGTTTTATATTCATTCATCTGGTCCTCCAGAGACCTGCACATTTTCTCCAAATTGTTCTGAAAATAAAACATGAAAAAGGTTCTGCACATGCTCTTTAAAAGAAAATAAGTTAGTAGATTTAGATGGTTAATGAAACTGTTTACCTTTGCCTTGACAATATGCTCCATGTTGGAGACCACATCGTCCAGCTCTAATCTCAGCTCACTCTTCTCCTTCTCCAGCTTCTGCTTGACTCTCTGCAGGTTATCAATCTGCTCTCCCAGGTCAGCAACACTGTCAGCTTGTTTCTTCCTGAGTGTGGCAGCGGTGGCCTCATGCTGCAGAGTGGCCTCTTCGAGGTCTCTGCGGACTTTCTGGAACTCGGCCTCCCTCTTCTTGTTCATCTCGATCTGGGCCGCTGTGGCTCCACCAGCCTCCTCCAGCCTCTCACTGATCTCCTCCAGCTCTCTGGACAAGTCTGCTCTCTGCTTCTCCACTTTGGCTCGAGCAGCTCGCTCTGCTTCCAGCTCCTCTTCCAGCTCCTCAATCCGAGCCTGCAGCAGTCAAAGAAAAACTTTGCATGAAAACTTTTTAATCTAAACAATATTTTAGTTTCATCAAACCACTATGACTTGTGTGTCTTCACCTGCAGCTCCTTCAGTTTCTTCTGGAGCTGGGAAGACATTGCCTGCTCATCCTCTATTTTGCTGTTTAGTTGGCTGATTTCAAAGTCTTTCCTGTGAATGAAAAGAAGTTAAAAGTAAACAAAGAGGTATTGGTGGAGGAATTACTCTTGATCAAAGTAAGCTTTTAATTGTACTTTTTCAGTCTCTCTTCCAGCTGCTGCTTGTCATTTTCCAGATCCATGATACTCTCTTGGGCCAACTTAAGGTCTCCTTCAAGCTTTCTCTTGGCTCTCTCTAAATCCATACGTATTTTCTTCTCCTGCTCCAGTGACCCTTCAAGCTGCACAAAGCCAATAATAAAAATGGGTTTCATTCAACACTTAGTTGTTATTGCTTTCATAATCTTTTGAATTCTTACATCATCCACTTGCTGCTCCAGCTTGGCTTTGGCCTTGGTCAGAGTGTTGACTTTGTCTTCTTCACTCTGCAGGTCATCCAG